CATGGCTAGTGCCTTGCTCTAAGCTACAGACACCAGCCAGATGTGGGAAGCAGCACTGGCAGTCCCCTTCTCACAGTCAGGCTGACACTCTCACAGCCAGGCTGAGCAGGGACAGCTGCTGATGCCTGCCTCTCCTTGATAAGACCAGTGCTTGCCTAAGTGCCTTGTGCTCTGCTAGTGACTATCTGGCTGCCAGCATCAGGGGAGCAGAGGGTTGCTGAGCCAAGCCAAGCAGCCCACTCTGTTCTGCCTCACATCTGCTGGAAAAAGAGAATAAAAAGAGTTATCTCCTGGCAAGGTCCAAGTGACTTCTCCTCCTCAGTCCATAGGAGCGTGCCTAAACCCTGTCTCCTAAAAATCAGCTTCACAAAAAGAAAAAAAACAGCAGAGCCCTCTCCTACCATGCTCCAGGGGTCAGTTGCAAGTAGCAACCGAAAGGCAGCTCAGAGCAATGTCCTAGGTCAAATGTGTCCCACCAGTCTCACCCTACAGCACAGTATGGGTCAGTGTGTTGGGCTAAATATCTTCTGGAAGGAGTGGGTCTCGGGGAGTGCCAAGAGCCAGGCCAAGCATGGCTGTTTCTAAGCTAAGAGGTTTGCTAAGGTTCTGTGTGAAAGCGTGACTCTAGGTACAAATCCAAGGCATGTGCTTCCTAGATGATGTGTTGACTGTGTTGTCCAAACTGTATTACTAGATGCTTCACATATTTTCTCTCATGGGGCCTTGATATCAAAGAATTATGGGAGAGCATTGAACACATTGTGGATTAATGAAGGAAATTTTACAGTCTGTGTCATTCAGGGATCAGGTGAAGTTAACTGAGTGATTCTTTCCGGTCTTAATAGCAGGAAGTTCATTACTTTGCTGACATTAGTGTTACTGAGGCTGTAGATAGACAAGATGGTAAACCTGTTTTAAGATGTCTATTACAAGATCAGAAACCCTGTGGCCATATGACACAAAGCACTAAAACAACTTCAGTCTGTCAGTTCTAATTTGTTCCAAATATTTTGAATTCTTAGTACAACTTCAATCTGTCTTGACAGATCAGTTTTTAGCTCATCCTGCCCACTCTAATTTTATGCCGAATACACATCATCTGTTTACCCGTAGTTGGGATAAAGCCTGGCATATATCCATACACTGTGCTATGGCTAATTCATCAGAAATATGCCCATACCTCATTCAGATTGGATTTGTACCACGGGCTGATCCAGGAACACACAGATCTCACACAGTAGAAGCACAACCCGCGTACGCCCTGTTGACAGAAATGGTATGTGACAGAAAGAATCTAGAAGGAAAGTAAAAAATGTAAAAGGTATAAAAGCTGGAGGAAGGCTGATGAACAAAAAGGAATGAGACATGACTTAAAAGAAAAAAAAGTTAAAAAAAGCATATGAAACGAAAGATGTGAAAACCACATGCAACACTGCATGTAGTGCAAATACAGTTACACAGAGTACCAAACATAAAGCGTTGAGAATACGGACTAAAGGTAACTCAAAACTAGGCAGAAGGCCAATGCAAGCTTCTCAGTTTGATGAAGGAAATAATGGGTGACAATCTGTGGTCCCTTTTAAAAAGACCAGGCTTAACAGAGTGAACCTATCTACTTTAGTTTGGGTGATCATAAGTAATTGCAAGTCACTTTGGTCATGCAGTCTGTATTGCACATACAGACTTGAATATATTTTTACCACAGCTCTGAACGAAAGGTTGTATTGCTGTGTACAAACAGGAAGAATGTACTGAGAAAATGGAAGGACTCTATCTGAAGAAGAAGAAAAAAAATCTCATTAAAATCTAATGAAAGAAAATTTAAAAGACTAAGGAGATAAAAAGAACCCTCATGATCTCATTAAATTAGTAACTGAAAAACTCTTGAGAGCACATTTAACAGATTTGAGAGATACCTAACTCTTCCCTCGCTCTAGCCAAATGCCCTCCTCTTACAGGTGCAACTTCTTTGGTTTGAGTGACACTTCTGCATGTAGGTGTGCACCACAGCTAAAATGTCAGCTGAAATTTGTTGCTGTGAATCAGACCATGTTTTGATTCTTTTCTCTCATTCTTCTGGCTGCGAGGGAAAGGCATAAGGAAAGTGAGGGGAGCAGAGGTATCTTATCACCTGGTCTTTGTTGCCCAAAACTGAATATATTTTGATTCTTCCTTCTTAGAAATTGTTGGGAAATCAGCATTATTAAAAAACTGTAAAATCAATCTCATCTACATGCAGCTAAATTTCTTTCTATATGAAAAGATTCCCAAAGTAACACCAGATTGCTCTTTTCTAACTGGTTAATTAGCAAGAGGAGGCATGTATTAGAGATCACAAAGTATCTCCTTTTAAGAGATGGTAATGTAACCACATATTATCACCCTTTTCATTTACAGGACAACTGATAGATACTTTCTCAAAAAGCATTCCTTTTTCTTCTCTCTCTCTTTGATAAATAAAAACAACTACACAACAAAACAAAGGTATAATGCAGGTTGGTCTAGAGAGGAACTGAAGGCTAAATGAAAAGAGAAATTTAGCTAATATATCAGAAGTCCTATAAAGCATGACTAAAACCCGTTGAAATTTAACATCTCAGTAATTTAGGGTATTCTAACTTAAATAAAACTTCATTGCCATTCAGTAAAATTCTAGAAATGCCAAGAAGGGCACTTGCTTTCCTTGCAGATGGAACAGACGCACCTTCCAAGGGCTTCATTGTCTCCTTTACTTTTGAGACCCCAATACTGAACATACTGTGGGCTCTTCTCTCAAGAAAAATAATCTTCCCAAAATAATTTCAGAGGTTTTGTGAATTAAAAAAAAAAATGTTCTTGTGTAGAACCGCACAGCTTAGCATTCTCATAAAAGAAGTGGCAATGGCAACTTATTTGTTGTTCCTTCATCTCTTAAAAACAGAAGGAAATTACTCATCACTCTGTCCCTCAGCTTCACAAAGCAGGCTCAGGGGAGACCTTATTGCTCTCTAACTACCTGAAAGGAGGTTTTAGCCAGGTGGGCATCGGTCTCCTCTCCCAGACAACCAACAGTAGGATAAGAGGACAGTCTTAAGCTGCAGCAGGGGATGTTTAGGTTAAACATAGGAAGAAGTCCTTTACAGAGAGAGTGACTGGGCATTGGAATGGGCTGCCCAGGGAGGTGGTAGAGTCACTGTCCCTGGAGGTAATTAAGAAGAGAGTGGATGTGGCAGTTAGTGCCATGGTCTAGTAGATGAGGTGGTGCTAGGACAAAGGTTGGATTCGATGATCTCAAAGGTCTTTTCCAACCTAAATGATCCTGTGATTCTGTGATTCTACAAAATTTGACACTCACTATTAAAGACAGTGAAAGAAAGTTTCTGCAGCTTGCAATTTCAAGACACCAATCAGACCTTCCTCCTCTGTATTTATGACCCTCAAATGAAAATGGTATGAAATGAGCTTGCTAGCTCTTTAGTGATTAAAACAAAGTTAATTGCAATGGAACACTAACCACAGTTG